TCCCAGCTCTGGGAATGTCCATCCCAGCTCTGGGAATGTCCATCCCACCTACGGGAATGTCTATCCCAGCTCTGGGAATGTCCATCCCAGCTATGGGAATATCTGTCCAAGGATGGGAATGTCTATCCCAGCTATTGGAATATCTATCCCAGCTCTGGGAATGTCTATCCCAGCTATGGGAATGTCTGTCCCAGCTCTAGGAGCTGCACAGCTCAGCTCTGAGTGAGGCAAAGGCACAGACAGGCCCTAAATCAGCACCAGTTGCTTAAGAATTAAGTAATAAAAAAAAAAGAAAAAAAAAGAGGAAAAAAGTGCATAAATCCTCTCCTTTCCAGCTGTAAAAATAATCAAGCTTTAAAAACTTCCCATCACCATAATTGCACGTGGATTGACAGATAAAGGAGGAGGGAGGAAGGAAGGGGAGGAAATTTTTCCTTTTTACCTCCTCCTGCCTTTCCCCTGACTTAGAAAAAACCCCAAACAAACAACACATAAATTGCCATCAGCCAGAAGTGAATCACTTTTCACTCTCTGCTCCAGGTCTTTCCCATTTTTGTCCCGTTTCCACATCCAAAGGCAGCTGAACAGGAGCTCGCAGTGCTGGAGGGAAAGCAGAGGCACAGGGCTGTGCATTTGGGGCACATTTGGCTGCCTCTGCTCAGAGCTGGAGGCTCTCAGGTCTGACTCAGATTCTGAACTATGTCTGAACCACCCCGAGGGGTGTTTGCATTCTGCTGTTTACAGACTGGAAAGACTGAAGAGGGACTGAGTTCATCCCCCTCCCTCTGAACAGAATCCACTTTTGAAGCACAGACAGCTCGTGGCCTTTCCCTGTCTCACCTCACTTCCAAGTGCCCCCTCATCCCTGTCTCACCTCGCTCAGCTCTTTATAAAGACTACAAAGAACTCTTAGATTTGAGAATTTTCTTGCACCAGGGGCAGGACAGGAGCTGTGCACTGAGTCACTTCGCTGCCTTTTACCCCAAAAGGAGAGAAAAATCAACCTTGTACCAGCCATCATTCCACAAGCAAAGCACCTGGATGGCTTCCAGCTCCTTTTCCTCCCTTGATTCAGTTGAAAGTGTCTTTCCCCCTCAAAAGTGGTGCATTTATGGGGGTGAATTTACTGTTGGTCAAAAAATAAACATAAAACCCAGCTGGTTTAGTGGAGTGGGGATGCATTTAAAAATGCAGAATTGACAGGATTTTTGGGGTCCTTTTCCAGAGGAGGGAAGCAGCTCAGGTGGCTGCACCTTTCTACATGTGGTGGGTGTGTGGAAAGATGGGTCCTGTCTGTACATATGAAGCTATCACAGGATCATGGGTTGGAAAGGATCTCAAAGCTCCAATTTGAGGAGTATCAGGATCTGCTGACCCAGGGGCAGCATCTCTTGGTGTTGAGGGGCATTCAGAGATCACAGAATCCCAGACTGGTTTGGGTTGAAAGGGACCTCAAAGCTCATCCAGTTTGAGGAGTATCAGGATCTGCTGACCCAGGGGCAGCATCTCTTGGTGTTGAGGGGGATTCAGAGATCACAGACTCCCAGACTGGTTTGGGTTGGAAGGGACCTTAAAGCTCATCCCGTTCCACCCCCTGCCATGGGCAGGGACATCTTCCACTGGACCAGATTGCTCCAAGCCCTGTCCAGCCTGGCCTTGGACACTTCCAGGGATGTGGCACGGATACAGTGCCCTTGGCCAGACACCTCTCCCAAGGAAAGCTCCCCACTTGCCTTGTTTATATCCCATTCTCAACAAGATGCTTTCCCTGCTCTCAGGGGGTGACAGCGACCCCGGCACACGTCACAGCCCCACACCCACAGCCCCAGCACCTCCTCCCTGTGCTCCCACAGCAGGACAGCCCCCCGGGCAGCAGGAAGGGGTGGGAGCAGAGCCCAGCTGAGGCACCCACCGGTGGCAGTCGTGCCAGACCCAGGCGTGGCGGCCGTTCTTGGGGCGGAAGTCGGACTGGCCGTTGTTGTGGATCTGGGAGGAGAAGCGCAGCAGGCGCCGGTACCCCGAGGTGATGGAGGTGTTGGCAGCAGAGCTGGCCAGGCAGTTCTCCTCCAGGGCACACTGCAGCATGAACATGGGCCTGTCCTCCAGGTAGGCAGTCTGCTCCACCAGCTCCGCGTTCAGCACCAGGTCGGGGGCGGCTGGAGGGGAGGAAGGGGTTAAATGGGCTAAAAACACCCCACGAGTGTCTGCCAGAGGTGAAGGTCAGCCCCTTCCTCACCCTGTGCTCCTCAGCCTCGGCAGCAGCAGTTTGAGTCATGGAATCACAGGATGGGTTGGGTTGGAAAGGACTTGAAGCTCATCTAATTCCCACTCCCCTGCCACGGGCTTGGGTTGGAAGGGACCTTAAAATCATCCAGTGCCACCCCTTGCCATGGGCAGGAACACCTTCCACTAGCCCAGGTTGCTCCAGCCTGGCCTTGGACACTCCCAGGGATGGGGCAGCCACAGCTCCTCTGCCCTCAGAGGGAAGAATTCCTCCCCAGCATCCCACCTATCCCTGCCCTCCGGCAGTTGGAGGAGGAAGAGCTGCAGGTGTAACTATTCACCATATGTGAACAGCTGACCTTAAAGCTCATCTCATTCCCGCTTCCCTGCCATGGGAAGGGACACCTTCAACCATCCCAAGTTGCTCCAACCCGGCCTTGGACACTTCCAGGGGATGGAGCAGCCACAGCTCCTCCGGGAGTAGGAACCCACCCCTATTTTGCCACGTCCAAGGTACAACACAGGTCACCCCGTTCCCTCTGGGAATTTTGGGGCAGACACCGGTGGCCAGGTGGGATAAACCCTGAGTTACTCACTCTCTGAACAGGACACCCCAGCTCCAAACCTGCCCCCTCCCCTGGGGCAGGACACGTGGGCTCCGTCGTGCCGGCAGTGGGCCAGCGACATCTCCGTCCCCGAGCACTTGACCCCGCTCATGACCACGCTGTCAGCACTCACGTCCCCGTGCCAGTACCATGTTTCCTGGGCAGAAAGGCACAAAAAAAAGGCGTCTCACACACTCCCCGGGGGTTCAGTGGGCTCTCTGAGGAATATTTACTCCCCTGTAACCTGGGATTCTCCCTCCGGTGAAGGTCGGTGTGAGATCCCACACAGTGCGGGAGGAGGATCTCAGTGAACTCAGGGAAGCAGAAGGCTGATCAACCCAGATTTTTAACCCCAGTCCCATATTCCCCACCCTAAACATCTCAGCAAATCTTTCTTCCTGTTTCTGAGCTGGTTTAAATCTCCCCTTGTTTTTAATTCCACCCTGGCGAGTTCATCCCGGGGCTCTTGGAAGTCATCGGGGCTGTGCCTTTGGGAGGGGTGCCTAGCATTTAAACCACATTGCCTTGTGACATCTGGGCACTTGGGAGGGCCACGAGCAGTGCCAGGGGTTCTGCTTGCACAAGGAGGGGAGGCAGAGTTACAGCCATGCTGGAAATGCCAGTGGGAAAAAGGAATCTGAGGAGTATCAGGACTAACAGGATCTGCTGACCCAGGGGCAGCATCTCTTGGGGTTGAGGAGGATTCAGAGATCACAAAATCCCAGACTGGTTTGGGTTGGAAGGGACCTTAAAATCACCCAGTTCTACCTCCTGCCATGGGCAGGGACACCTTCCACTGGCCCAGGTTGCTCCAACCTGACCTTGGACACTCCCAGGGATGGGGCAGCCACAGTTTCTCTGGGAAATCCTTTCCAGGTCCTCACCACCCTCCCAGGGAGGAATTTCATCCCAATATGCCACCTAAGCCTCCCTCTGGCAGTGGGAAGCCACTGTGTGTCCTGTCACTCCAGTTCCTGATGAAGTTCCCTGGTCCTCTTCATCCCCCAGTTACACCAAACCCATGGGAAATGTCACTTAATTAACTCACAAACTCAAAACCCTGATGGCACAACTTTGGTGGACGGTGGGGGGGGGAGGGGGAGGAAGAAAGAACTTAAAAAATCCGATCAGATGTCTCAGTGTCCAAACTGGGAGCCCGTTTCCAGGAAAAGAAAACCCATCTGTGCCATGGCTCCCATGGCAAGAGGCTGCCTGGGAGCCCTGCGTGCAGCGCTGCACACACAGCCTGCCCTGTTCTGCACACTGGGGCTTTATGCTCCTGGAGCTGGGGCAGCATAAGGGCCTTTTCTGTTTGGAATTCCAGCAGCCTCAGCTAAAGGAAAAAATGTCTTGTTCCCTGCTGGACTCTCAGGGCTGTGCCAACAGAGCCAGGCCAGTGCTCAGGGATGTGGGTGTTCTCTGGGATCTGCAGGGGGGAAGCAGCTGGAGGAACCAGCTGGTGCAGGGGAATCCTTCCTGCTGGATTTCCAATCCCTTGGGGAGCTGCAGATCCCCTCTCTGGCCATGAAAATTGGTTGGATTGGTTGGAATCTACTCATGACCCAGTGTGTGCCAGAGGTCATCGATCCCAGAATGGTCTGGGTAGGAGGGGACCCCAAAGATCTTGTTCTACCCCCCCTGCCACAGGCAGGGACACCTTCCCCTAGCCCAGGTTACTCCAAGCCCTGTCCAACCTGGTCTTGGACACTTCCAGGGATGGGGCAGCCACAGCTTCTCTGAGAAATCCTTTCCAGGGCCTCCCCACCCTCCTCCTGGACACTTGGTCACTGCTCAAAGACCAACTGAGGGAAACCTGAGCCTGGAGCAGGACGAAAACAACAGCTTTGCCCAGAGCTGCAGCAGCTCCTTCTGCTCCAAACCTCCCTCCTCGTGGCTCTTGTGCAACAGGGTTTAACCCTCGGGGTCTCTCCAGCTCATGCCTGGAATTTGAGTGCTGCAGTTGGGGTTGTTTTTTTGGATAAACCTTCCTCCTCCTCCTTGTCCTCCTCCAGCATACCTAACCCATCCACAGGAGTACAAAACCCAGGGAGGGGATGGCTCAGGGGCTCACCTGGAGGGTGTCAGGTGCCACCATGGCCTCCTAAACCTTCCTCCTCCTCCTCCTCCTCCTCCTCCAGCATCCCCAAACCCATCCAAAGACACCCAAAACCCAAGCAGGGGAGGGTTCAGGGGCTCATCTTGAAGGTGAGGCTGTCAAAGTCCAACTCCATCTGCCAACACACCACCACAGCCTCCTCAACCCTCCTCTTTCTCCTCTTCCTCCATCCTCCCCAAACCCAACCCCAGACACCCAAACCCAGGCAGGGGAGGGTTCAGGGGCTCACCTGGAAGGTGCAGCTGGCAAAGCCCAGCCCCACTACGGCCTCTTAAACCTTCCTCCTTCTCCTCCATCATCCCCAAACTGATCCCCAGACACCCAAACCCACCCCCAGAGACCCCAAACCCCAGGCTGAGGAGGTTGAGGGGCTCACCTGGAAGGTGTGGCTGGCGAAGCCCAGCCCCAGATGGCAGCACATCACCATGGCCTCCTGAACCTTCCTCTTCCTCCTCTTCTTCCATCATCCCCAAACCCACCCCCAGAGACCCAAACCCACCTCCTGACACCCAAACCCAGGTAGGGAAGGGTTCAGGGGCTCACCTGGAAGGCGTGGCTGGCGAAGCCCAGCCCCAGCTGCCGGCACACCACCATGGCCTCCACGGTGCCCCAGTTGTCGCTGCAGACCGTGCCCCACCTCAGGGTGCCGTTGCGCTCGGCCAGGACCTCCACCCTGCCCTCGTAGGGGTTGCGGCCTCCACTCAGGCGCAGCTGCAGGGCACAGACCCCCCCAGGGGCAGTCAGGCCATGGCACAACCCCCCGGGGATGTGGGGCAGCACCCGGGGGCTCCTCGGGGCTGGGAGTCCCCGAGCTCGCACGGCTCAGTTTGGGCACTGATGTAGTCGGGGTCACCTCCCACCCAGGGTAGGGGATGGTCCAGCTGAGCCCTGCAGCTCAAAGGGGGCTGGAGCAGCTGCAGGAATAACACACTCCCTGGGAAAGCTTCCCTTCCCTGCTCCTTTAGAGCTCTGGAAGGAGCGTTGGCTCAGGGGAACCTGCGGCAGGTTTGTGCAGAGTCATGGAATGGTTGGGTTGGAAGGGACCTTAAAAATCTTCTCATTGCAGCCCCTGTCACGGGCAGGGACACCTCCCACTAGAGCAGGCTGCTCCAAGCCCTGTCATAGAATCCCAGAATCAGCTGGGTTGGAAGGGACCTCTGAGATCATCAAGTCCAACCCTTGATCCAACCCCGCCGTGGTTCCCAGCCCATGGCACTGATGCCACATCCAGTCTCATCTTAAAAACCTCCAGGGATGGAGAATCCCTGGGCAGCCCATTCCAATGGCTGAGCACCCTCTCTGCAAAGAATTCCTTCCTAATATCCAACCTAAACCTCCCCTGTCCTTCCATCCTTTCTTTCTTCATTTGTAAGAAAGGAAGCTCAAAGCTCGGCCTAAAAAGGGAGCATCGCCCTCATTTTCCCTCCTAAAACCCCAACGAAACCCTCGTGGCTCAGGTGAAATGATTCCTTCCCAGTGCTGTGCCCTGGCAGGTGAGACCCCAGCGTGCAGACACCTGGCAAACATTCCCTGGCCCCTGGATCACCCGGCTCCTCACCTGGTTCTGGAAGCCCATGGCGGGGACGTTGCACCTCACAGCAGCATCTTCCTCGTGGTTGCAGCCCTGGGACTCCACGTTGAACTTGCAGTCAGTGACTGACTTCTCAAAGCCTGTGCAGTCGATCTCGTTCAGGTGGATTGGGCCCATCCCTTGGGGGTGGGGGGAAAGAAGGAAAAAAAGAGGTTTTTGCTTTCTGCCTGTGCTGCTGCGTGGGGAGGAGATGTTAATACCCTGCAGACACCACGCCAGCCTCCAGCATTCCAAACACCCTGAAAAAAAAGCCACTGGTTTCGTGTGAAAACAAACCAAAAAGCTGCAATATCCTTATTAATATTTTCACTGTTAAATTCTTGCCAGTGTTCTCCGGGGCTCCGGCAGGCAAGAACCCCAGAAACAGCCAAGTTTCCACCGTTACATAATTTACAAACTTCAGCTGCAGGAATTCACAAATTATGACCTTTTGGCTGGGTCTGTGTGCTGGAATCTGCTCCCAGTCAAGCCTGAATTTAACTGGGACATGGACACGTTTGCTGGGACAATAAAGCAGAAAACCACAGGGAGGGAGGGATGAGGTGTCACTAAAATAAATCTGGGGCAGGTGGTGTGGGCTGCAACACAGCAGTGAATATCAATCATCCCATACTGCAAAGAGGTGCTGGGACACAAATGGGAATAATCTGGGAGGACAAGTGGCATCCGAGATGAGGCTGGTTCTTCCCACCAGCCTCAGAACACCCTGGGATCATAGAATCATAGAATCAGCTGGGTTGGAAGGGACCTCTGAGATCATCAAGTCCAACCCTGGATCCACTACTGCTGCAGTTCCCAGCCCATGGCACTGATGCCACATCCAGTCTCTTTTTAAAAGTCTCCAGGGATGGAGAATCCATCCCTTCCCTGGGCAGCCCATTCCAAGGGCTGAGCACCCTCTCTGCAAAGAAATTCTTCCTAATCTCCAACCTAACCCTCCCCTGGCACAGCTGAAGCCCGAGCCCTCTTGTCTTGCTGATGGTTGCCTGGGAAAAGAGCCCAACCCCCAGCTGGCTCCCCCCTCCTGTCAGGGAGTTGCAGAGAGTGAGGAGGTCTCCCCTGAGCCTCCTCTTCTCCAGACTGAACAGCCCCAGCTCCCTCAGCCTCTCCTCACAGCACCTGTGCTCCAGTCCCTTCCCCAGCCTCGTTGCTCTTCTCTGCACCTGCTCCAGCCCCTCAATGTCCTTCCTGAGCTGAGGGCCCAGAGCTGGACACAGCACTCCAGGGGTGGCCTCACCAGTGCTGAGTCCAGGGCAAGAATCACTTCCTTGGACCTGTTGGCCACACTGTTCCTGAGCCAGGCCAGGATCCATTGGCCTTCTTGGCCACCTAGGCACACTCTGGCTCCTGTTCAGCTTCCTGTCCATCCCAGCTCCCAGGTCCCTTCCTGCCTGGTTGCTCTCCAGCCCCTCTGTCCCAGCCTGTAGCGCTGCAGCTGGAACAAACCAAAGTGTAACCACGGACACGGAGTTAACTGGGAGAGTCTCCCCTCTGCAGCTGGGGGGGAGTTTGGGCCAGCAGAGCTCCTTTTCCTGCCACGAGGGGATGATCCCGCTGCTGGGGGGAGCTCAGCCATCCCAAAGGACACTTCTGACAGGGAGCACTGATGGATGGCCGGGGCTGAGCAGGAGAAGAAAGGGAAGCCTGTGGGAATCGGCCGCCGCCAAGAGTTTTCCAGGCTGCGGGAGACAGCAGGGAACGGAGCGTTCCATGTTCTCCTCCCTCACGTGGCAGCCTCTCCTCCCCTCCCCACAACGATGATTAAGCTGTTTCCTACATGCAGTTAAACACTCCAGCAGATTTCATCCCACCACAAGAGGGTTTTGGCAAACCCAGCGGATGGGTCACGTTTTAAAGCTTTCCAGACTCAGGACACCACGTGTTGTTTCCTTCCCTCCCCTCCTCCGAGTCTCCAAAGAAGATTCACCCTTTCCTTTGTTCTCACAGGAAGGGTTTGGTGTCATTTGCTTTCCCATTCCCACCACAGGAGCAAGGTGTGGGAATCCCCAGGTGGTTTCAGAGGGTGTAAGTTCTCCTTTGAGTTACCATTTCCCACATTTTGGGATTTAAACCAGCTCCCAGACACAGGAAATCCAAACCCAAACCTGGCTCTGAGCTGTTCAAATGCCCTTCTATTTATAATGGGCTTATAAATGACTTTATAAATTACTGTTCTGGTTTAAATTGGAGCATTTGAAGTCTGGATTCAGGACTCATTTTTGCCAGGAACCTTCTAGTAATGCATTCCACCATGGTGTGGTTCTAGAGGACTCAAAGGGAGCTTTAGAGCAACAGATGTGATAATGAAGAATTAATTACTGGAACAGCTGTCTGAGCAAAAGGTTAAGCTCATCATCCCCAAACTTCTTTCAAGGAATCTTGAACATCTTTTTAAGTCACATATTCCAGCCTGGCCTCCAGAGACTCGTTAAGGTCAGAGGAGACATTTCTGGTCCCCGGGGCAAATATTCCAGTAAAAACACGCTCTGTCCCGTATCCTGCAGGGCTCTTGGAGCTGGACAAGGCCCCAGCAGCCCCTGGGGGTCTTACCTTGGCCCAGCCTTGCTCCTGTGATGGCCTCCTTGGCGCTGCCAAAGCCCAGCTCCCGGCACACCACGCTGGCCGACACCAGGTTCCAGTTGTCGTCACAAACCGTCCCCCACTCCCCGTTTTTCAGCACTTCCACTCGTCCCTCGCCTGTGTTGGCTCCTCCTTTCAGCCTCACCAGTGGTTGCTGCAAGACACGAGGCGGGAGAGGAGTTAATTCCCACTCCCACTGCCTAATTCCATGTCCTGCCCTCTGCAGCTCCTGTCTGCCGGAAAGTTGGGCCCCCAAAACTGTTAGAGAACCACAGAACTAAAACCCCACCACCACACAATTCCAGTGGCCAAAAGCTCTGGATGGAAGGAGATCTTTACCTGCAAACACTCATGGTGTGCACAGAGATGTTTCTCATGTCCCTACACATGGGCAGGGAATTGGAAAAAAAAAAAGATATTTTAGTTCTCTGTAGGTTTAATGTTTGGATTTAGGAGCCTTTTTCTGCTGGTGCACACAGGCTGGACATGGAAAAACCCAATTCTCATGTCCCTTGGGAGTTATGTCCCTTGGAGAATGGCCCCAAGCCTGCTGGTGCCCAAGCCTCATGCCCTGGCTGCCACTAAAGGGGTTTATTTGCTGTTCAGACCTCCAGACCAGGCTCCTGGGTTAATCCAGGACCAACATGGAGCTCAAGCCACCTCAAACCCGCCTGTCTGCTGAGTTCTGAGCAGTGGAATCAGTGATCTGGCAGATCCCAGCCAGAGATGCACAGCTCCAGTTTCCCTCGCTCCTGGTTTGATATCATTATGTTATTATCTCTTTCTACTTTTCTATTATTATCTTATCATCTATCAATCACCCACAGCTTTGCCCAGTGCCAGGTACAGACCTGCCACTTGCTGCTGCACCTGAGAGGTGGGTTGTGCTGGTGGCAGCAGAGTCAAAGCTTTGGGAACACCAAGAATCCTTAACTTTTCCAACTGGCAGCAGGCTGGGGTCACACAAAGGACATGCAAAGCCCAAACAAAGGCTTAAGGAATTACTTGGCAGCGTGTGTGGCTCAGAAGATTAGTCATGATTTACAAGACCTTTCACCTTTCGGGCCTAAATCCCTCAAGCTCTCGTGCAGGGAAGAGCCCGGGATCCAGGCAGGGATTGCACTATTCCCACCACAGCAGTTTTGGGAGGTGTTACCACCTGAGAAGAGCCCAGAGATCCTCCTAAAGCCACACAGATCCAGGGCTGGGCGATGCAGCTCCAACCCCACCCAGAGCACCCCTGGAAAAACCCCTCTAACCCAGCATTTGGGGCCTCCAGACCCCAAAATCGTCCCTGTATCCTAAGGCTGCAGCTGGAAAGTTTCCCTTGGCATCCACTGAACCATGTTTGCTGCACGTTAAGCTCTTCTTTCCTATTCAGTCACCCCCCTGACCCTGAGCACAACCAGCTCCAGGGTTGTTTTACAAGGCTTTTTGCATATCCCGGGATTTTTACAGCCCTTTCCTCGCTAGACTAAACAAACACAGCTCCCCAACCTTCCTGCAGGCCGTGTTTTCCCAGTCTCCCAGGGCATTTCCTTGCTGAGGAATGCAGAGGTAGAGGAAATGCCAACTGATTTCCCTCGTCCCTCCACAGGGAAAACCAACCCAGCAGGATTCCAGTGGCTGTGGAACAGCAAAGCCTGGCAGCAACCGGGCACCAGTTCAACTGGCTGGGACAGAGCAGCTCCAACAGGAACGTGACCCTGGGATTTTCCCACTCCTTGCTCCCAGTTTTGCCAGCTCCCACCCTCCAGGAGGCAAGGAAGTAGGAATTTCATGGGGTAGGGGTTAGCTGGGCTTGCAGGGAGACGGGAATACTTGGAGGGGACGTTGGCACGAGGTGTTCGGGTCCTACAGCCGAGAGCTGATGGTGGATTTACACCCCAAGGGTTTTCCTGATCAAACTCACAGGGGGTTAGACGGGATATTAGGGAGAAATTCCTCTCTGGGAGGGTGGGGAGGCTCTGGAAAGGATTTCCCAGAGAAGCTGTGGCTGCCCCATCCCTGGGAGTGTCCAAGGCCAGGTTGGAGCAACCTGGGCTAGTGGAAGGTGTCCCTGCCCATGGCAAGGGGTGGCACTGGATGAACTTTAAGGTCCTTTCCAACCCAAACCACTCCAGGGTTCCATGACTCTTCCCCAGCTTTGTATTCCTGAGCAGGGTCTGGAATATCCCTTGGGTTAGTTGGGATCAGCTGTCCCAGCTCTGTCCCCTCCCAGCTTCTTGTGTCCTTCCAAAGTCTTTCAAAGCCTTGAGGTTGTGCAGCCCTGCTCAGCAACACCAAAACCTTCTCAGTGTTAACAGCACAGATTCAAAATGCTGTGAGCAAAATTAACTCTATCCCAGCCAAACCAACAGACTGGAAAATTCAGCCGAGGGAAAAAACCAAGATATACAGGATAGAAATTAAAATACATATTGCCTGGAGAATGTATCCATGTGCTTTGAGAAATTTGGGGGGAAGATTCAACGTGTCCTCAGGCAATTTTTAATTTGCTTTTGTAGCTGTGTGAGGAGATGGAACAGCAGCAGCTTCCTGGAGTCTCACCACAGGGATACTCAACCTGGGGATGGGACTCTCCAAAGTGAAGCAAAAAGCTGGATTTTATCCATCATTTCAGCCCTCAGACCTGATGAGCCAGAGGTTTGTGCTCCAGTTTCTTGGAGCGCCCAAGCTCGGAGCAAACTGGTGAGGTGGGATTAACGACCTTTGAGGTGCCTTCTGATGCCTTAAGCCCCTAATGGTTTTTTATTTCTTTTAATATTTGTAAGACTTGTAAGTTTTATAAGTAGGTTTTAAAAGCAGAAACCCTCCCTTCTTTGTCCCTTGTCCCTTTCCCTTTCTCCAGTACCCTTGTTTATACATTCCTTAACCCTCTTCCCTCATTCTATGCTCCCTATATCAGCCCTACTCCTGAATCCAATAGAAATGTTTAGTCTTTTGTCAAGGCAAGGCCCAGACAGTTGACAGAACAGCATATCTGGGCCTAAACCACAGAATGAAGTCAAGAATTAGGTAACTATGTACCCTTTGTGCTCTGATGATGGTGAAGGTGATGAAGTAGGTGGTCCCGAAATGCACCCCAGACCCATTTTAAGGGGGTGGACCCCGGGGAGTTCCAGAGAAAAGGCCACAGGGTGGACACATCTGGGATTGGATGGATGGTATAAAATGTAACCTCTCGGGCACAGGGGGGCACGTCTTGTAACATCTACTGCCTTGGCAAATAACCCCTTTCTTATCTCACCCCTAATTAACTGCTCCGGGAGATTTTTTCAGCACCCACGGCAACACTTCCAACCCAAACCACGCTGGGATTGGGGGCCAGGTGGGGTTTTCTCCCCGCTCACCTCCTGCCTGAAGGCTTTTCGGAAGCCACTGTGGCTGCTGGGGGCGAAGGCCCGGCCGGGGACGCAGCTGACGACGGCGGGCAGCCCGTTCTCACACGTCACGTTCTTCCCCACGGCCAGGTGGTTCCCCAGTTTGCAGCTGGAGATGTGAGCCTCATTCCCACTGCAGTCCATGGAGTAAGCCCAGTAATGCTGCTTCCTTCTGCTGGCAAACATCCTGAGAGGAATAAAAAGAGGAGACGGGGGAAAGTCGGGAATCCGGATAAAAACCGCGCTGGTGTGGTGGTGGGTTGGGGGGGTGGGGGATGCCTTGGAATAAAATTGGGATGGAAAAGGGTGGTTTGGAGGCTGAGATAAAATTGGGGTTGAATAGGAATTGTTTGGAGGCTGAAATAAAATTGGGATGGAACAGGAATTGTTTGGAGGCTGAAATAAAATGAGGATGGAACAGGAATTGCTTGGAGGCTGAAATAAAGCTGGGACTGAATAGGATTGTTTGGAGGTTGAAATAAAACTGGGATGGAACAGGATTGTTTGGAGGCTGAAATAAAATTGGGGTTAAATAGGAATTGTTTGGAGGTTGAAATAAAATTGGGGTTAAATAGGAATTGTTTGGAGGTTGAAATAAAATTGGGGTTAAATAGGAATTGTTTGGAGGTTGAAATAAAATTGGGATGGAATAGAATTGTTTGGAGGCTGAAACAAAATGAGGATGGAACAGGAATTGCTTGAAGGCTGAAATAAAACTGGGATGGAACAGGATTCCTTGGAGGTTGAAATAAAACTGGGATGGAACAGGATTCCTTGGAGGCTGAAATAAAGCTGGGACTGAATAGGATTGTTTGGAGGCTGAAATAAAACTGGGATGGAACAGGAATTGCTTGGAGGCTGAAATAAAACTGGGATGGAACAGGATTGTTTGGAGGTTGAAATAAAATTGGGGTTGAATAGGAATTGTTTGGAGGTTGAAATAAAATTGGGATGGAATAGAATTGTTTGGAGGCTGAAATAAAATGAGGATGGAACAGGAATTGCTTGAAGGCTGAAATAAAACTGGGATGGAACAGGATTGTTTGGAGGTTGATCCATTAATACACATTCTCTTTGTTAAAGTGTCACTTAGAATCATGGAATCATTAAGGTTGGAAAAGACCTCCCAGATCATCAAGTCCAACCACCTGGGGTTAAACAGGTCACCTGTAAAAGCTAAAAATCAGAATATGAATCAAAGCAGTTTCAAATAATAGAAAATCCCTGCATCACACACAGGGCTCAGCTCATTCAAACTGAGTGACCAAACTGGGGTGAGCTTGGCCTGGAGAGCCCCAAAAATCCTCTCCCTTTGCTGCTTTCAGCTGGGAGGTGGCAGATTGGGAAAAAACCCCCTCCAGCTCTGCAGCTCCTCTCAAACCTTGGTGTGAACAACCCAACCCTGGAAGCAATTTCCCAGAGCAGGAGCAGTTCCCTTGCTGACATGTTCACAGCAGAGGAGCTTGGCAGCAGCTCCTGCTCCTCACTCCCAAGCTGCCTGGAGCTGCTCCAGGTGCTCCTGAGGAGGAAGGGGGCACGTGGGATAAACTGGGAAGGGAAGGAATCCAGCTTCTGGAAGGGAAGGAATCCACCTCCGGAGCTGAGAGTCAAGGAAACACAAAATGTGGGTCAGATCAAACACAAAATATGGGTCAGATCAAACACAAAATATGGGTCAGATCAAACACAAGATATGGGTCAGATCAGCATCAAAAGGGGGATGGGAAAAGTTAAAAACACAGGCACAGAGGAGTCAACGCCCTGCTGGGATCCTGACGTGGCTTTGTGTGATCCCTGTGCTGCTCCAGGTTCCAGAGCTCCCTGGGATCCAAGGATGGGCTGTGACAAATGGCACATGGGGATGGAACAGGAATTGTTTGGAGGCTGAAATAAAATTGGGATGGGACAGGAATTGTCTGGAGGCTGAAATAAAATTGGGATGGGACAGGAATTGTTTGGAGGCTGAAATAAAGCTGGGATGGAACAGGAATTGTTTGGAGGCTGAAATAAAATTGGGATGGAACAGGATTGTTTGGAGGCTGAAATAAAATTGGGATGGAACAGGATTGTTTGGAGGCTGAAATAAAGCTGGGACTGAAGAGGAGGCTGAAATAAAGCTGTGTGGAACTTCTGGGAGGAAAAGCACCAATTCTGGGCAATTCTGCAGCGGATCCCTGCGGGACTGGGAGCCTGGAGAGCAGCTGGGAAGGGCCAAAGAGCCTTTCCCAGGGGTTGGTTTGGAATTCAAGTGGCCAGGACGAGGTTCTCCCCCCAGCACGGGGGCTGATTTTCAGGGTCAGGGAGATTGGAGGGACTCTCCTCTCCTCCCTCCTGCTCACTGAGCTCTGCTGACCAGCTCAGCAGTTCTCTGGGCTCACAGCCACTGACTAATCCCTTCTGGAGCCAAATTTCCCTGGGCTGAGGTTGGGGATGGATCCAGCCAGGCTGGAGATAGAGATGCAGCAGCAACACATGATGTGGGGCTGGGAGGGATGGAGCAGGGATGAGATCCTGCCTGGCCCAGGGGGAAAACCGGCTGTCAACACAGAGTAGAAGCTGTCAGGGACCCTGAACAAGGCAAAAGGAATGGGAAATGGGAAGAGAGAATTAAAATCCCAAAAAATAAACCCACGAAACCAGGGAGGCACGAAGCACCAGCCACTTCTCAGCTGGAATTGAGAACCTGAAGGAATATTTTCACCCTCCACAGACAGGCCCAGGGAGCTCCATGAACTCCAAAGCAGACAAGAAACAGCCTGTCTTGGGGAAATTACGATGGGGATGCCTTAGAATAGCAAACAATGACCTCATCCTGGAAATTTCATGAGGCATCAACATCTGGTTGGTATTAACAGCCCTTGGTAGGCTGGGGAGAAATAAAACCCCACCTCAGCTCCCCAGACTGAATATATATATATATATATATATATAAAAAAGCAGAATACAGATGGTCTTTACAGGCAGAAACTCAGGGCATGGCTGCCTTTTAGTTTTTAACACAGAAAGGGTGCAAACAGCTCTCCCTGGTCAAGATCAAGGTCAGAGGTGGCACTGAACTGTCTGGCTGGGAGAGTTCAGCCAATTCCAGGTCGAGTCAGAGTTCAAACCACTCCTGCTGGTGAGGAGAGATGGGCTTTCATCACCTAAAAGCTTTAAGCAAAGCACAGGTGAAGCCCAAGGGCTGTGGGAAGTGGTTAAAGAAGCCTTGTTGGGTAAGAGAGGTCAGGATAGGTTGGATGTTAGGGAAAGATCCTTTATCCAGAGGGTGTTCAGGCACTGGAATAGGTTCCCAAGGGAACTGGTCACAGCCCCAAGGCTGCCAGAGCTCCAGGAGTGTTTGGACAATGCTCTCAGGGTGGGATTTTGGGGTGTCTATGCAGGGCCAGGGTTTGGACTGGATGATCCTTGAGAGTCCCTTCCATGATTGTATGACTTGGGGAGCAGAAAACAAGTCCTCACACACACCTAGAGGGCAGGAAAAGTCACCCTGACCCCACAGAGCAGGGGCTGGGAACTCCCCCTGGGCTGGGAGCACAAAGTTTGTCCCCCTGAGAAACCCTTCAAGTGTTTATGGAAGGGAAGGAGCTGCTACCTTCGGCCTCTGGGAGGGCTGAAGGGAAGCCACACCTGCCAGAGCCCTTCCACAAGGAATTTTACTGCAAGAACTGAAGTGATGAACAGCCCTACACACCTGAGCAGGTTTGTTGTGGGAGGAGCAGACTGGTTGAACTGGGAGGTGCTGTTTGGGCTGACACTGAACGGAGGATCCTGGAGCTGCTCAGCATTTCCAGCCATTTCTTTGACAAATCATGAAGCTTTAAAGCTTAAAAAGGCATCAGGTCCATCTTTCTGCCTCAGGCATCCCCTGATCCCAAATTTCTCCTCTCTCCATCAGCAAAATCCATTAAATTCTGCTCTGCTTTCCCAGCCAGAGCAGGAACTGGGAGGAGGAGTGAACAGCAGCCCCTGTATATAAAACCACTTTGAAGAATGAACAAGAACAGGGAAACAACACTGAGCTGGGTTTCATTTCCTCCCATAAATTGTGCTGTCAGCTCCAGAGGCCGAGTTGCATTCGGGAATAAAACCCTGGCACTGGGACAACGATGAACTAAGTTGTTTTCTTTCAAGCAAGATCCATCTGCAAATCATTTCACCTCCCACCATTGTGCAGGAGCAGGGGATCTGCAAGCTCAGCAGGCAGGGCTGGACTTTGGGGGGATGTGGGAAGGGGCACTC